CCCCAAAACCCCAAAACCCCAAAACCCCAAAACCCCAAAACCCCAAGAGATAAATTGATGATGTGAATCAGGTGGAAGGAGGATAAATAATTAGACTTAAGATTGAAAAAGGTGATATTTAAGAAGTATATGCCTTTTTAATATATAGAACTAATCACCAATTTATAAAAGGATCGTCTCCCTTCTCCACCTTCTCTGCTTGTGAAGATTTATCCTTAGTAAAAGATGATTCCTTTTCCGAAACCCTATAAGATAATTATAACTGATGAATTCATCAACGCTTACGCTTCGAGTTTGGGAAGATAAGGGGTATCTAATTTTTTCAGGAGCAGGTTTGACCACGAAAAATGCTCGAAAAATCTGTGGTTTTTTATGTCATCTACTCCATTCTTGAGGTTACCGAATCTCTTGGAGAGATCTCTTCTAAGCAGATGCTTCACAAGACTCTTGCACTTACTATATATTATTCGTAAATAAAAAATCTAGTCGAATATTTTATAACTTACGAGTCGAAGCCCTCTGGGTATCTAGGCTTTGTATTTATGATCTTTCTATAGATGTTCATTGGATCTTCATCCTAAAATGGTGGGAAACCTGCCAACATCTCATAAACAAGTATACCAAGAGTCCACCAGTCTACAGGTTTTGAGTGACCCTGATTTAATAAAATTTCTGGGGCAATGTACTCAGGAGTTCCACAGATAGTGTATGTTCTCTTTCTAACTACTTTAGCAAATCCGAAATCGATAAGTTTCAGGAACCCATCATCTCCAATCATAATATTCTCAGGCTTTAAGTCTCTGTAAATAATGTCTTTCCCGTGCAGATATTCAAATATACAGACGATTTATGCTCCATAGAATCTATATTATAATAATTAATATCAAACGTTTTAGAGAAATCTGTGTTAAGATCTGGGGTTCTCCAGCTAAAAGGTAGATTGGTTATTTCACTTACTGAGTCTGCTTTGCACTAAAATGCCCAACAGAGCGATGATATGTGAACAAGTCTCCACCTCGCAATAGCTCTGTCAAGAAATAAATGTATCTTTCGTCTTGCAAAAATCCATAGTAATCCAGCTAAAAGAATGATTAATATTTCACGTGATGTTTCATGATGGATATCCAGTAAAGATGCCTGATTCTTCTTGAATGAGATACTTACCACAAACGGATGCTGTATTTTTTCTAAGATGTTTTTCTCATTCTCGATATGGTCAACATGTTTGCTCTTTATAATCTCAGCTTTCTTCATGGTCTTCACAGCATATTTTTGACTTTTGTTCGTCTTTAACCAACCAACTCTTACATTTCCAAAAGCACCTAAACAAAGAAATAGTAAGATAAAGATGAGAGCAAAAAGAAGGATCGAGTTAGGGCACATAGTTCAAAGGTACTTACCCTCTCCTAGTGAGACACCAAAGACAATGTCAGATAGTGAGCACTCTACTTTGGGGACCTTTTATGGATCTGACATATTTTTTATATTATACGTTTGAGAATTAGATTAATTCTATCTGCAATATAAAAATAAATAAATTTAAGTTATTATGATTATAATTAAATTCGATTTTCTCAGCGAAGTTCAAATATATCTGACACCTTCATAATCCATTTGACTCTAATCCTATAAATCGATAGACTAAAGAGTAATCATTCCAAGTTGAAGCCGGCATTAGAGTTTATTGCATAAGAAAGCACTTCTTTCATTTTGTCCGAATCACCATAATGAGGGAGTTTCAACATATTCATGCAGGTTGAGGCTGTTGGGAATCTTTGCTCTCCTCTGTCCAGCAAAATTTAATGAATGCAAAACTAGGGATTTAAGTATTTAAAGCCTAGTAATGGCCCTCTATTTGTGCCAGTGACAAATACAAGGAATTTTTCTTTTTCTTCATTTGGTAGAGCTCTGAGGAAATTCCAAAATTCAATGATGTATGGATCATTATCCCTAAATCCATGATATACTGTGTTTCTTCTTAAATCTTCAACATCAATTTCATTTTTACCCCCTGAAATCAATAATTGGATTTCATCTGGGAAGAATAATGAGAGATATTCCTTTGAAATAACTGTATATAAACCCTCCTAAAATGCCTAAACCTGCACTCTAGTTTTCATATTCAAAACATAATTAGCGTAGCTGATTATGTATTGTATTTTATTCTCGCTAAAGTAAGTTTTTAATTATAATATTTTACTTTGTTACTCCAATATTCGCACCATTGGGGACTAAAGGAATATGATTTATATGCCCATATAAATCCTCATTAATAGAGAAAGTTAATCCTAAATCCTCAGCATCTCCCTCGTAGTATTTTAGATACATTAGATTATTATATAACTCAGCGTCATATGTTTTAAGATCATCTAGATTGTTAGATTTATCTGCAAATTTATTCAAGAAAAACTTTGCAAAAGAGGCTTTTATTAATACTCCTTCATATATGGCTTTCCCTACTATCATACCGAAGAATTTGTAGTAGCTAAACATATTGTATTAGAAGATAAAATAATTACTGATCGTAGTCTTATTAGTTTTAAGACAAGTAGTTTGGATGAAGTTTTCTATCTGCAGTTTCACTGAAAAAGGCATATTAGGGATTGAATATATGCTCTGTTAATTTAGTCATAAACTCTTTGAACAATCCTCCACCGTCGATTCCCTCTTCTGTGATATAATTCAAGTCTACAAATTAAATCCTTAGTTTATTCTTAATATCTTCTCCTAGACCATACATCTTCTCAAATGCATCTTCTAACATGTACTCTCTTCTTATCTCTACTCCCTCAGAATGAAGTAAACTGAACATATGAGATTACCTTGTATCCTTTTCCTCTTATAGTAAATCTCTAAATATCAAAGCTCTCAACTCAAAAGGTATAGTTTGCTATGCATTTTAAAATAGCGTTGGGGAGATACCAGACATTAGTTGAGAGGGTCTTAGTCTATCAGCTAAGTTAATAAGGTTTTTATCAACAATCCAAAAATCCTTTGGATACAGATTAAGCCTTCTATCTCTATCATATAGTCTACTAATGCACTGCTTAAGGTAATCTTTAAATACCTTATCAAATTCATTCATGCTTTATTCATTTTGAAATATCTTAAATGCTATTCTATTTAGCAAATCTGCTATAAACCTGGATTGATCTTGATTAAGAAAGTTATGGAAGGTGCTCTTCTTCTAGTTTAAAAATTCCAAGTCATCTAACACTATAAGTCTTTATTGAAGGATATGGAGAAAGAGATTAAAGAGATCCAAGTCTGATCTCACCTGCTCTATTAATTAGTTTGGTGAGCCTAATATTCCAATATAAGTGTCTTAAAGATACACGCAAAGATTGATTAGCATGCTACTTCTGAAAACAATTTCTCGTTCAATATACTATTCTTTGATATCTAGCAACTTCATTAACTGCAACACTAAACTAGTGATTTTGCTAGATGTGTTTATGTCTACTTTATCAGCTTGCCCCTCTTTTTAGTATACTAGAATCAACTTCTCAATGTCATGAGTTACTTTGACAATAACAGACTTGCAATTATATTTTAAAAGTTCTTGTTCAATGAATATATTTTGATTGTTTCCTTTTATTTGTTTCACGACTTCAAGATACTATTACGTAATTCTTCTTATCATTTTTAATATTTGGTTAATATCTAGTTTATGATGGATAGCTCTCATAAAACTTAAAATTGTTGATAGTTAGTAAAGTTCTTTAATACTATTCTTATAAACTAAGTTTTCAAACCATGGATTCAAAATTTATTTGAAGAACTAGATTTGCTAGCTTTCATCAGAAAATAGATTGATAAGACCATTGTCTAAAATCAATTGACTAATCAGACTATTAGGAGTGTTTTCAAGGTTTGAATTCAATATTATTCTTTCCCAATGCTGTACCGTAGAATTCTATAAATTTTCATAAGTCATTTCATGGTTCTCCTAGAATATCTTAGACAAGATGCTATGATTTTTCTAGACAAAGTAATCATTTATATCTCTACTGTTATCAACATTAATTCTAGAATTCGAATATTCGTTCAAAAAATTGATGCTAGCATTATATAACTAAAGTCCAATTTGCGACTTCTTAAATTCTGCTTTCAGGCTTAGGTTCATCAGATAAAAGATCAGTAATTCATAATGATCCTTATTGATTCCGAAATCCATATCATTAATATACTTTGATGTTCTTATTGCAAGATCATAGATATCAGCAATTGAGTTCTAAAGTTTCGTAATCAGCATTTTAGATCTTATACTGTTCAAAGCAATATTAATCTTTAGAATAATCTTTCCAAATCCTTTTTCAATTATTTGTTTTTCTTATTGTGGAACTTTCTGGATGAGTTGCTTTAAGGCCATAATATTCCCAGCTATTTTTTCCTGAATCAAAATCTCGTGTGCTAAATGTTGGTTGACAGAATATTAGCGCAGCTATTTCTATATTAGAATTGCAGCCTCAGTCTATTTCTTGTGTTAGAGTCGCTTCTTCCTTTCTTCTTCATTTTTAGCTAAGATTACCTCCTTACTCTAGTCCTTCTTATTGCCCATATTTACTTTATACTTGAAATCATCGTGGAAAAACTTATCCATTTTTGTCGGGGAGATTCTTAAAAATCAAATTTGTTTAAATATTTGCTAAATTCAGAGAAATTCTTTTAATATTGTTGCTAGGGGTTTTGGGGTTTTGGGGTTTTGGGG